TTTGGCTGCATTTCACAGGAGGAGGATGTTTGGCTGATTAATCCATCAAGAGCTCAAAACTTTTTTCCAAGCTGTTGCTTCCCACACCAGGTTCCTTGCACTGCTATCATGGCTCTATGCTGGCAACTCGATAAACAGATTTTGTTTTGCCTGCTCCCAGTCCACCAAGTGATCCAGATGGCTGCCAGTAACTACCCCCACTATTCAGTACTCTGCAAGTCATCAAAAAACCCTTTTTCAATCCTACTTATATATTTTCTTCCTGATGTCTGACGGACCTATTCAACAGCACAGGGTCAGGACATGACACTGCAAGAACCAGACACACCTGTTGGTAACAATTCTAAATGTATTGCCGCATTTAATTAGTTTTACTAAACAGGTTTTAAACCATTGGACATGCACTCTGATTTAATTAAGTTCACACACTAACATCCATACTCACACCTTTGGCATCAAAACCCTAATATCATAAGAAACTGACACAGAAGAGTTCAACAGGACCTTTGTAAATAAACTGATGACAAGTCACATGAAAGAAAAGATTTTAAATTAATTAAAAATCAATTAAATTCTTCTATGAGCTTATTATTTTCCTAGGACCAACACCACAGGCATAGTTACCTGCACTACATAAAGTTTAAAAAAACAGCAGGATAACAGCAACAAGCTGCTATTTTCCACTGAGTTAACCTGCTATTTTCCACTGAGGAACACTTTCACCTAAGCACTAGGAGGTGAAGGAAGCTCCTTCATTCACAGAGATGAGAGCTTCACTGCCAAATGCAAAGGCTCCTGCCGCAGCACAGTGTGCTCAGGGCTCTGGTAAAGGGCATGGAAGAGGGCAGTTATTAGATCACATATAAAAAACAGAGTCCCTGCAAGGGCGAGATCTCATCTCCCCAAGAGAGGATACATCAGATATTAACTCACATACTATAGCTGATGGTTGCCAAAAACATTAGTTGCACAAGATTCAGGAATGCAACATTTTTTCTATCAAAAGCAAGAGAAATTTATGTTTGTGATGACGTTGCTAAACCATTAGAGAAAGGAGCATTCTATTTTTCATGTGTTTCTCAGATGGGGCTATACAGTAAAATCCAGTTTTCCCTTCTCTCCCATATCTTATTACTATGATTAACGTCATGTAAGGAACGTTACATTGAACCTGGCAGGATTAGCTACATTTTAAAGATTTCCACAGCAACCAACATTCTCCTTTTATTGAGCTGATTCTGTGGCCTTTAGGAGATTGCTGGCTCATGTTTACTGGTGCCAGATAGGGAGATAACAGCATTTTTCAGAACTGAATTTCACCACACAAGAATTGGAAGACTCGCCACTAAAAAGTATCATTATCCCAAATTAGCCTTACAAGAAAGAAAAAGCAGAAGCTGTGGTTCTTCTTCCAAAGTTCCCCCAGAGAATCAAACACACAATTATACTGCAGTGTACCATGGGAAGACAAAATACTGAGATTTTGCCATCTTATTAAGGCTGATAACTCTTGAGCAGCTGTGCCCATCAAACACACAGGAAAGCCAATCCAGGATATTTCCTTTACCTATCCTGAACCTTTTAAATGTCAGGATTGCAGCCACAAGCACAACGCCACTATCCAACAGCAACAATTGTTTTTAAAGCTCTGATGCTAAACACCAGCCTGCTTGCCAGCACCACTCCTCCATGGAAGCTGCCCAAGTTGGTTAAGTACCACAGGCTGGGCAAATAAATGCCAAGTGTCAGACAGATGATAAATCAGAAAGGGCTGTGGAAATCTTCCACTGTTTCGCATGAGGCATGTTATTACCCAGGAATTGTCTGCTTCTACTCAGGGGGCATGCTGACCCTAACAGATGGGCAAGATACCTCCATCACATCATAAACCTGTTTAGTTTTTAGTGAGAGAAGCCTCAAGAGGACACCTAGGGAAGCTGACAGTGCTGTTCCCAAGGAAGCTGTCTGCAGATACAGACTGAGACAGTATATCCAGCCCTGCAAAATCTGAGCCTATTTCAGAGCAATCAGCCTTGACCAGCATCCTGCTCCACCCAAGTTTCAAAATCAACAAAGCCACCTCATTCCCAGGTACTCTAGCTCCCAATATCTTCTGAAATCAAGAGTGGCTGGGAGATGGTATTCCACATTTGGAGGACAGTCCTTTTCTGAAGATGTCCGATTTCTAGGCTTTCCAGGAGACCTGGGAATGTGCTATCAAATAGCAATTCTCCCTCAAAAACAGGCTAGCAAGTGCATGTCCTCAAAATGCAACTGAAATCTTGCCGTTCCAAATAAAACACAGCACTTGTTCTAAACTACTTATTGACAAAGCAAAGCATCACAAATATTGAACTTCCATACAGCAGCCATGCAAATCTCAACTCCTGGCATATGACAGACAGATGCTGCAGAAAGAGTCAGCACTTCTGTCCTCAAGAAAAAGCTTTTAAGCCTTTTATGACAAAAACTTCAGTCAGTCTGAAAAAATATTTTGATTACTAACTATGGATTTAAATAGAAAAACCTTAAGAGCCTTTGATCAAAACCAGAAAACAACCCAAGGGACTTGATAATTTTCTGTTAAGGAAGTTTAACCAAATTTTAGAACCCGAATAATCTAGAGCATTTAAGGGAAGATACTAAGAGGAAAATTGTATTAGATTAAAAGCTCTAAGCATCAAAATTTAAAGTGACATTTTAGGATTATTTTCTGGTTTATTGGGTTTTGTTTGGGAAGAAACTTCAGAACAGGAGGTTTTACAGCAATTTTCATTGCAGAGGTTAAAACTGCACAGAAGGGAGGAACTATGGGATTCCTTTATCTGCAGCCTCACTTTCCCAAATTCAAGAGTGCTGATGCCATAGAGTGAATCCAACCTGCAGTCTAATGACTATTCACATTTCACACAAGGGACAATGAAGTTCTATTCACACTCAGCTCTCTCAACTGCAGAGCCTCCAATAGTTGGGAAAAGTTTCTATATGGAAGTCCAGACAGGAACACATTAGCAGAACTGAGCTCCAGGGCTCAGAGTTACCTGCTTGGGGCTCCATAAACCTCTCTTCTTTCCTCTAAAGCCAGAGGAATCACTCTGCCACTGAAAGGACATAAACAGGGACCAGTCCCTTGCTGCCTAATGCCTGCCCCAGGGCACTCAAAGGGTTTCCACAGATAGATATATCTACCTTCACCATTAGTTCTGTCAGTTTTAGGGTCATTGCAAACCCAACCATAGCTAAGCCTGAGCTGAAGAGCTGTTAAGAGGAGGACAATGAAATAAAATGGTATAAAGAGAGATGCCTGCCTTTGAGATTAGCTCAAAGAGCCTTTTGAAAAGCCTACAACAGTCTGAAGAGAGCTAATTTGTGAGGAAATGTCACTCCTGAAAAGATGATACGCCTCACTGCTATGGCAGAAGCAATTCTTGCCATCACAGCTTCACAAGCCTTGATTTAAACTGATCAAACCAGACACCTGCCTATGCAAAATAAAATGACTTATATCAGCATCAAGAGAGAAATACAAGCTTTGAAGTGAGAAAATATTAATCGGATACTGTGATGTGTGAGTTCTGATTCCTAAGCACTTGCCTACTGCAAAATCTTTATTTCACTTAAACAAGAGTTCTAAAATACACTCAGAAACAGCAGAAAAGACATTTCTCTGAAAAAAATTGACATATTTATTTTTTCCTCTTTCCTCCCCAAGAAACTGTTTTCATATCCCTGCAAGTGTTCTGGAGGGTAACCAGTGGCAGCTACACAGGAGAGTGGCTAGGGAGGCATGCAGGGGGAAGAAGAGGAAAGGAGTCACTGCTGAGCAAATAACTTTCCAATAATTTTTCCCACAGTGTGAGTTTTCCACCTGGGAAGTCAAACACAAGGGTCAACATATTCTGCTTTAGGTGTTTACACGAAACAAACAACCAGCTTTTAAAGGGTTTGTGCAACCCTATTTCCAACCAGAGCAAGAGGTCACTGGGGGTGTTTGCTTTTAAAAGCCAGGCTATTTTTATTTTATTCATGTAGGCACCTGTAATTTTCCTGGATATAAACTGTATGTCTTTGAGACTCTTCATCTGTCATCTGCTCTTCCTACGCTTCAAAAGCTGAAGGAAGTGAAGTCTATTATGACAGGCTAGCACAACAAATAGTGTTACTACAATGAACCATATAAAAAAAGCCCTCTCAAAAATCAAGCTCATCAACAAGTTTTACCATAATCTGCATTAAATCTCCATCTATATCAGTCTTGCAAGAACTCATGGAAGTTTACCAACTTTAGCACATTATGTATTGCCACAATCTCAAAAATAACCCAGAAAAAAGCATATTACTTGCCCCTCTTGAGTCTTAGGGCTTAGTTTTTAAGACAGATTTAAACAGTTATTTGATTTTCAATTCAAAAGTTGTGATAGGCCCCAGGCTGCTCTTACCCAGCTGAGAAATCTTTTTTTTTTCTACTTGTTACAGAGAATTTAACATGGTGACATTTATGAGTTCCTTCAGTAGTAGCTCATAAGATCAGGCTATCAAAGTGTTTCAGCATAAATAACAATCAGAGAAAGTTTTAACCCATTACACCAAGAAATGAAATTTAAACTGTCTGGTTTTGGTTCCATGTTCATACTGTTTTCAGGGGTTCTTCTAATAAAAATTTTACATATGTCCCAAGTAAGCTTTTTGCCTTGAACGTCATATTTAAGAGGCACATTCACCTTAGTACTGCAAAATGTGGTCTCTTTGTTACTAACAGCAAAATTTCCTGGAGTCAACACTCTCTATCAGGAATTGGCTATTACACAGACATCTTAGCCCCTGAGTATTGGATTTACCTGGACCAAAAGCAAACCAACGCTCCAGATCCAAAGAAGCAATGCAAAGAAAAGCATGACTGCGCCCTGAGTCAGCTCAGATCCAGTGGTCTTATTAATTTGGACTCTACACCACAAAAATTGGGCTCTTCTAGACCTGAGCTGATCCTGGAAGCAGCACAGCTACAGTCAGAGTTTAGGCCAGGGAATTAGGTCCTGCCAACACTGAGTTGGCTCCACATGAATGCGTTTGCAGATGCCACATGGCTTACTTGTAAACCAGGACAAAGCCACCCACAGGTAACCAAGGGCTGACTAACTTGGACAGAGCAGGACTGGCTCCTGTTAACTCATTCTTGACTAATACATTGCATTCAATTCCACAGTAATTGCAGCAAATGGACCAAACAATTCATTGGAGTGAACTCACCTTGGACTTGACCTGGAGACAAGTGACTGTTTTTTCTGGCATTCATTGCCAGCACATCCTCACCAAACTGTTCAGTCAACAAGTGTCCAGCTCCTGTATCAGTGTTGGCAGGACATCTGCCTCGTTTCTTATGTTTCTTTCTCCAGGTGTCCTCCTCCTCCCTCTCATCAGAACCGGAAGATTTCTGCAGAGCCCCTCGGTGTCTCAGGCTGTTTGATGCTCTCCCACCAAGGGTGTCACTCACATTTAACAAGCCAGATGCAGCTCCATGCTGGTACCTATAATAGTCTTCCTCCACTTCCAAATCTCCCTCTGGACTAACAATGGCATTTTTTTTAAGAGGACATTTGTTCAGGGCGCTTTGGGGTTTATCGTTCTCAAACCCCGGCAGGGGCTGTTCCAGGTGAGATGTTCTGACTGGAGAATAGCCATGCATGTTTATCCCGTTCCTGGCTGGATTATCCTTCACCAGGCCTCTCCTCAGAGGCAAGTCCAGATCCAAGCTGGGGTCATTGGAGAAGCCTTCTTCCAGCTGCATCTTCTGTGCAATGTGGTTCAGGTAGGACTGGAAGCGGCCACTGTGGTGCTTTTGAATGAGCCTGCTGTACGCGTTCTTCTGCGGGGCAGCTGCCCTGCTCAGTCCCTCCCTGGCACCTTGGGCAGAAGCTGGACTTCTCACGTGCCCCGGCTGATCCATAGTGCAGGAAAAGGCTCAAACTCCAGAGAGTTATAAACAGACACAGAGGAAAAAAGGTTTATTTTCCTGAAACAAAGTGTCAAATATTAATTATGCCAGAAGGTACAAAAATGTAAAATTTTTGTAGAAAAGGAATTCTGAGTTTGTAAATCACTGCAGTGTGAGGAAGGGGTTTCACAACGTACTCAACATCTCCTCTGCACCAAATCCCTGTCCACAACCTAGGAGTGACCACAGCCCATAAGCTGTACCTGCCCAATACCACATAAAACAGGGATTTTGTCCCACCCCAAATACACAGGATTCCTTTAATCTGCTCTTCCTTGCCTTTGAAAAAGCCAGGAAAATTAAAGCAGAAAATGACAGACTGTGCCATAAGCATCAGTTTAGTGGTTATCAGAAGTAAAGTCTTGTCATGTCCAGCCTAGAGTCCTCAAAAATAACTGCATCCTTACTGAAGTACTTCACTATTGCAATATCATTATTATCAAAAGCAAACACTGCCTGTCACCTCCCTCCCACAGTGACTGACACTTCTCCATTGTACAGGACAGTTCCTTCAAATACCAAGACTAGCCATTTCATCTTGTCTTCTTAGGCATGAACTCCCTCCCAGTAATAATTACCTTGCAAGAGCTCCTAATTCTTACTGACTGAGACACACTGCCTGCAGCTCCATCCAGCACCAGTTTCTGTAGATGGTATCACATCTCCATCTTTGCTGCACAAGTATGAAACTTAAGCAGATTAAGCACCTTTCAATCCTTTTTCAGGTACCTTAGCTTTTAAGCTTTTGGAGCAAAACAATATACTAAATTATGCTCAGCTACTTTGAGGAAAATTATAACTATAGACAGGACATAGCAATGATTTTTCCTGTGTGTAAAATCAAAGAATATAAGGATTTCTTGATAAAGGAGCCCTCTGCAACTGTTGGCTTCTGTGTGTTTTCATAAAAATGCCTCTTTTTTTGACTTTGGGACAGGTTTGAAGCTAAAGAGCTGATTTTCACCCCAGCTGGTACATGAAGAATATCAGGGCTCACGGTCAGATCTACTATCCCAGAACCGTGGGGCACTGGACTCTAAGTTTAAATAAAGGACACTGCCTGTTAAACCTCTCCCTTCCCTTCTCTAAGCACAGGGATGTTGGCAGGACAGAATACAGAGATCAGCAAAAGTGAAATTTATAATCGCTTCCCTACTCCCACCGTGCTTGGAATTTTTCTTTGCCCTTACTCAGCCCTCTTCTCCCTTTCACTGTTGTTGCACAGAGGAAAAGCACCCAGGCAGTCTCCTCCATGCACACCCTGCCTGGGAATGGGGCATTATCCAGCAGGGACCAAGGGCTGCAGAGCCAGCTCCTCCTCAGCGTGCCTGCTCCGGCCCTTTTGGAGAAAGATCACGCCTTGCACCGGGATTTACTTTAATAATTGAGCACGGATGTGAGCAGGCTTCACAATGCAAAGTAAAAATTAAAAATCCCTGAACAAATAGGAAAAATTCTTTATGTGGTTTGCAATTCTTATTCCTAAGATTTTCCATTGGTGCTGGCCAATAGCTAAACTCTTCTAATAGACTGACCTGCTACCAAGCTATTACAAAACACATACGGGTAGGTCGACAGAAGCTTTCTTTTAATATCACCTTCTCCTGTTGCCAATGCAACAGAGGCAGATAACATTTATAAAAGCCAGTGAGACTACTTTCCAAATAATGGTTTGGTTCCAGGAGATAGGAACTTGTCATCTTTATTTACCAGTAAAGAACAAACATTCACAGCTTGCCTCCACTATAATTTCTACAACTTTAACCACGTAAGGAGTCAGCAACTGCAGCAGTGAAAAATATGCAAGCCCCTACGTATTATATTTTCATTATTAGTCTGCTGTGGGCAACCAGGAATTGAAATATTCCGAAGAGAGCAGAGAGAAGGCAGAGGTGGGTACAGGTATATCCACCGTGCCTGGGCACGGTGATGAGGACAAACGAAATGCCAGGATGGAGGCGCAGAAGGAGGACACTCGCTGAGCTGAGCCCAGGATGAAAACAGTCCCTGTTATTGTCACCCGGCTTGTTGTGAGGATCACCACTGGCCTCCATCACACGCCCCCCGGGGTGTCCAACTCCCCAGCCAACGCTCCAGCTCCAGCAGCACGGAACCCCTGCACCCTCGGCACCAGGAGCAGCCCCTCGCCCGCCGCCTCTCCTGCCAGGCGCACCCGCCCCTCGGCAGCGCGGCCGGGCCGCCACCGCGCTCCTGCCGGGCCCGGAGCAGCGAACGGCCGGGCCCAGTCACGGCGGCGCTGCCGCGGCGCTGCCACGGGGCTGAGAGCCGCCGGGCCGGGCTCCGCTGTGTTCCCTCTCCTGGCCGGTCCTGGTCTCGGTCCCGGCCCCGCTCCCGACCCCCTCCCCACTCACCGGCGCCGCGGCCGCTCCGCTCCGTTTGAATGTCCCAGCACCCCGTCCGCTTCCGGGGCAGCGGCGCCTACGGGCCGCGGCGGGGCCCAGAAGGGCTCAGCGCGAAGCGCTCTCTCCACACCCGCTGCGACAGGCCAGGCGGAGGGGTCCCAGGCGGGGTCTCGGGTGTCCCAGCCCCGCTCGCTGCACTGGAGAGAGCTCCTCGGGGTCTCCGGGGGGGAACGGGAGCCTCCAGGCAGTTTTGGGCTACTCCCGGCCAGGCACGGCGTGTGAGGGTGGGAGCCCACGGCGGGCTGAGCTGGGCATCGCGGGGACGTGGGAGGCAGGAGGTGCTGCCACCCAAGCCGGACTGTCCCCAGCCTGCCAGCTTTGCAGCCACCGGGATCCCTGGGGTGTTTTGGCAGCCACCTGCTTCCAGCTGGGGCCAGCGGAGCCTCCTGGGATGGGTTGCTCCAGTTTAAGGTCACTGCTCTAGCTTCAGCCAGATTTGTAGCCAGATCAGTGAAAAAAGCACAGGTTAGCTAATCTGATATTGTAAAGATCTAAATCTGGTGTTGTCCCCGAGGAAACTCACAGCTTTGCTAGCACCTGAATTTCCAAAAGCCTCATGAGGAAACCTTCAAGAGCTACGTGACCTCATCTGCACTGCAGAGAAGAGCATGCTCCAGGATCCTGTTCCCCGGGCTCTTTGGGATCCTGTTCCCCGAGCTCTTTCTTTGGGATCCTGTTTCCCGAGCTCTTCCTGCTCCCCTGGCACTGGAAGTTGGGCAGCAGGCAAACCTGCTCACACATGCAACAGCGCCTGAGGAGTGACCAGCCCTTGGTGCTGAGCAGCAGTGGCCTGACCTCCTCCAGGATAAGTCGGAGCCTGTGGATCAGAGGGTGACATTAAAGCATGAGACCAGAGTCAAGAGTTGGCACTTTTATTACCTCCTCTTTCTGTGACCACAGACCTCTCACGAGGCTTTATAGCAGAATCAAACCCAGGCTCTGGCTGACTGGGAATATGTGGTTTGGTCACTCTTGTGTTACTGCAGACTCAGGCTGTGTTTGCCAAAGAATTTCAACCAGAAGAAAATCTGGGGAGCAATAAGCTGTCCTCATGGCACCCGCAGTCAAGCCCATTTGAGCTGCCTGCCTGGAGAATCCCCTCAGTAGCTGGAGGAAGGATCCAAAGGGGCCAGAACTGGTGTCTCCAGGCTAGGCTCTGATGGAGAAAGGCTCTGTTTAATCTTCATTTTGGCAGGGACATCTGAGCAGGCATCCATGCTGCCCCTTCACTTAGGATGGGGAAGACAATGGCCCCATGGTCCTTATTTTGCATCCTGCAGATCAGAACACATTGCCTGCTGTCAGTCACCTCTAAAGGCCATGAGGCCACATCTGCTCAGGGTGCAGCATCACCTGGCTCCTAAACATAAGCTGTCCCCTCAGCCATTCCCACAGCCAGCACTGCTGAGCTTCCACGAAGCCGTGGCAAGCCCAGACCACTCCAGCTCCAGCCCTCGGGTGGGTCGAGGGAGCTGCCCTGAGAAAGTACCAGGCTTTTGCTGTGGCCCAAGGGCAGCGAGCACAGACCTGCCTGCACAGGGACAGTCACATCCGCCCCAGTGCCAGGATGCCACCAGCAAAGGCAGTGTCTCGTTT